CTCTTGTGTTGGTATGCTCTTGTGTGGTATGCTCTTGTGTGGTATGCTCTTCTATAGTACTAGATGTCACAGCTTCCTCTTTAACAGCTTCTTCCGTTTCTTTCTCACCTGCACCTGTTAATTCCGGAACCGTAGTTGATTCCTCTTTACCAGGTTTTTCCGTTGTTCCGATTTCAGGTTTCTGTTCTTCATCTTTTTTATAAATTTCAGGAACAACAGTATATTCCTCCGCTAAATCAGGTAACTGTGTTTCTGGTTTAACACTTTCTATTGTCTTGTCAGTTATTTGTTCCTCTTGACTCGTTACTGGTATAACTTCTGTCGAAACGCTTTCCGTTATTTTTTCTTCGCTGGGAGAAGTAACAGTCTGTTCCTCGATAGGATACTCAGATTTTGAAGTTTGCTCTACAATTGGAACAGTGACGTGTTCCTCTTCTACAACTGATGTTTCAGATTCTGAAATAACAGGCTGTTCAGTTTCCGCTTCACTCAAACTTGACTCAGTTTCCTTTACGATCGGTGTAGTGGGTTGTTCGTCAGCTTTTTCTTCTGCAGATGCAGATATCGTTGATATTTCCTCAGTATGCTCTTCGGCAGGTAATTCAGGCGTATGAGATTCAATTTCGGGTGTAGTTTCTGGATGCTTCTCAACGGAAACTTGCGTACTTCCTAGTTCCTGAGCAACGCTAGTTTCAGTAGGTTTCTCATATTCTTCAGTAGATTTCTCATATTCTTCAGTAGGTTCAGTTTTCGCTGGTTCCTCGCTAATAACTGAAGATTCAGTTTCCGATGGCTTTTCTTCGGGCAATTTTGTAGTTGACGGTTCTTCTTCGTGCTCTATAATTGATGGTTCTGTTTGTTTTCCAGGATATTCTGTAATTTCCTTTTCTATTGCGCTTTCTGTTGTTTCAGATAATGTTTCTTCATGGGAAACTTCAGGAGTAGATTCTTCGACTAGTTTAGTAGTTCCCTCGATAGGCGTTTCTGTTTCAGGCAAGATAGCAACAGTAACATGTTCTTCTTCAGTTGCAGGAGTTTGAGTTGTAATTTCCGACTCTGTCTTTGTGCTTTCTTCAGAAATTTCTACAGATTTTATAGTTGTATATTCCTTTGTTGACGCCTCCTCACTTACGGTATGATCATGTATCAATGTCGTCGATTCAGCAGTAGGTATAATTGGCTCCTGTGTTTCAATTTCACTTGGAACAATACTAGGTAATTTTGTTTGACTTTCTGGTTCCTCGGTTTGAACAGTTTCAGTTGATGTAATCTCGTGTTCTTTTTCTTTTTCAGTTTCACTCTCGAGCTTATGTTCAGTCGTTGACTGTATTTCAGGAACTGAAGTTTCGGAACTTTGTTCCTCTTGAATTCCTGGTTTCTCCGTTAAAATTTCTTCCGATTTCGTAGATATTTCCTGTTCTTCGACGGTAACAGGTTCTTCAGAAATTGGCTTTAATGAAACTTTTTCTTCTTCTGGTTGTTCTTTTTCAATTGGTTTAAATGTAGATTGTTGTTCGATACCTTCTTCTTCGGTAGGTTTTTCCTGTTCTTTGGTCGGCATACTAGTTTCTTTACTAGCTGCTGTAGTTGTCACTTCTTGTCCTTTCTCAATAGGTATTGAACTTTCTTCTACTTCGACAGGAACAGAAGTCTCTTTCTCTTCTGTCAAACTAGGAACCGTAACAGGTTTTTCAGTGCTGTGAGATTCCTGTTCGGTAGGCATCTGCGTGGAAGTAATTGCTTCGCCACTAATAGGAATCTGTTTTTGTCCAGTCTCTTCCTGCGGTTGTTCGGTCAAACCCGCTGATTCTGTTATGCCTTCCTCACTGATTTTGCTTTCAGTAGTTTCTACTGGTATAATTGGTGACACAGTATGTTCTTCAGGTATTTGACTGGAGGATTCTTGTGATGTCTCTGGTACCGAACTAATAGTGTGTTCCTCAGGATATTGCTCGATAGGTCGAACTGTAGTGGGCTGTTCATAAACCGTTTCAATAGGTTTGAGAGTGGTCTGTTGTTTCTCAGTTGCTGTTTCTTCTTCAGATGTAATAGAAGGAACAGTGATTTCTACAGGTTGTAACTTCGAAGTACTAATTTCACCAGCTAATGTACTCGATTCTGTTGCAGCTTCTTCTGGTATTTCCGTAGGCGAAACAGTCTTCTGAATTTCTTCTTCTCCGGAAACAGGTTCGATTACATGACTATCGGATTCCAATTCAGCAGTCGGTGTGGAATCACAAGCATACATTGGACAGCAAGATTCTCCGTTTGTGTGAACCGGCATGCAATTCGATAGATGCGCTGGCGGGGCAGGACATTGCACGAGTTCGCATTGTACAATACTGCTAATACAATGACAACTGATCTGACACGCATTTGCTGGTGGAACGGCTGAATTATTGCTATAAGATTGTCCTTCAACAAGACAATTACCTTCTCCTGGAATACCCGACGGACGAGATGTGAACTCTGTACTTTCTTCTGCTACAGAAATTTCTTCTGGAATGATTGTTGTATATTGAGTTGTTTCTTTTGGAACAACCGTTGAATATATCTCTTTTTCTTCATGTTCCGGCATCTCCGTAATCATTTTTTGAATAATTTCTTCTTGTTCGGATTTCAATGGTTGTTCGGTAATCGATACTTTAGGTGTTTCAGAAATTATACCTTCTTCTGTGGATATTTCAGCTGGACTTTCCGTTTCATCTTTTTCCGTAATTGGCGTTTCTTCCTTTAGTGATGATTGCGTGACTTGCTCTTGTATTTCTGGCTGTTCTTTTTCCGAAGGTATAGATTCGGTTGCAGGTGTAACTTCTTTCTCGATAGGAACTTCATGCTCCGTAAATTCTTCAAGTCCAGACAGTTCAGTTGATGCTTCAGAAATTAATACTGGAATCGTCGTACCTTCACTTTCCGCGATTTTGGTTGTCTTACTGACACCTATGTCTTCAACTGATTCTGTAGGAACTTCAGAAGTCGAAGATTCTTCATGAGTTGCAGGACTGGATGCTTCAATCTCTGTTTTTTCATGAATTTCTGGTTGTTTTTCAGTGATTGGCTCTTGAGTCTGTTCCTCCTGTCCGGATAGTTTGGTTGTGACCTCTTCCGGTTGTTCACTCGATAATTCAGGCTGTTTTTCAGTAATTGGCTCTTGAGTCTGTTCCTCCTGTCCGGATAGTTTGGTTGTGACCTCTTCCGGTTGTTCACTCGATATTTCAGGCTGTTCTGAAGTAATAACTTCGCCAATAGTAGATTCTGTTGTACTACCCTCAACCGGTTTTTCTTCCGGCAAAACAGATTCGGTAATAGTACCTTCCGAAGATGGAATGTGAGATATTTCTTCTTCAGGAAGAACTGTCGGTTTCTGTGGTTCTTCATACACAGTTATTTCTTTCTCGGGTTTCTGTGTTAATTGCTCTTCGTTTAGTTCTGGTTCAATCGGTTCCTGATCTTCTTTGCGATCTGAAGGAATCGGAGGCTGACTTGGTATTCCACTGACAGGAGTCTCAGTCTGCTTCTTTTCTGGTTCCGCCGTTATCTCAGTGGCTTCAGTTTCAATTTCAGGAATTGCTGTTTGTATTCCCTCTGTGGATACAGGCACAGAAATCTTTTCTTCACCTTCTTCTTCAATTTTATCTGCTTCGGTGATATGTTCAACGGGCAATTCTGTTTGCTCAATGCCGATAATTTCTGTTGGTTTTAATTCCACAGTTTCCTCAGTTGGTTTCTTTTCTGTTACTGTAGTAACAGTAGTTTGTTGTTCTGCACTTTCTGTTGACACGGCTTTCGTACTTTCTGTTTCCTCTGGACCATGACTTTCCATAACAGCAGCTTCTTCCAAAGCTTTCTTTGTAGAATATTGTTCGGGTTGCTCAGTTATTCCTTCTTTAACGGCAGGAATTCGTGTTGTATGTTCTTCTTCCATCTTTATCGCTTCCGTGGTTTGCTCCTCTTTCAAAGATTCTTCAGTTTGTAATTCTTTTTCTTTTTCACCAATTATGTCTGGTGTTGTAATGGGATGTTCCGTAACATGTTCCTCAACTGGTTTTTCAGTAATTGTTTCTTCTTTTTCAATAGGAATTATTTCAGTTTCTTTCTCTTCAACTTGTGGAGCGTGCGTTGATTGCTCAGTAGAAGAAATAATGGTAGTAACATATTCATCTTCTGTTGTATGTTCTTTCTCAAGATCTGAAGGCACTGTTAAATGTTCCGCTGGAATAGTTGTGGATATTTCGGAAGCTGTTTCTGGTTCTGTTACGATTGGAGGTTGTGTTTCTTCTTCCTTCTTTGGTTGCATTTCTTTTTCACTGCTGACTTTCCCAGAACTTTCACTAGATTCTTCAAGTTCTTTTGTGGGCATTTCTTCAGTATTAGGAGACTTTTCTGTTAACTGAATTTCCGTTTGTGGTACTTCACTTACTGTTTCCTCTGGCACAGTAGATTTTTCAGGTGCTTCTTCTTCTGGTATTCTTTGAGCAATAATATCTGTAGAAGATTCTGTGCTAATCTGAACTTCGATGACAGCAGGTGTGCTTTGTGTTTCTTCAGAAACTGTAGTGATTTCAGATTTACTCTCAGTTGATAGATTTATTTCCGTAACTTCTTCTATTGATTTTGTCGTTCCTTCCGTTGAAACTTCAATATCTTCCGTCGCAATTGATTTTGCAGTTTCTTCTGATGGAGCTAGCGTAGTCTCTTGTTCCTGCGGGAGATGAGTCACAGGTATTTTCTGCGGAACCTCAGTTATGAGATTATCGGGACTAATTTCCGGATGAGTGACACCGTGATAGTCTTCTGTCACATGATATACGCTCCCATCTTCTGCTTTCTGTTCTGGACTTCGTTCGGGAATCGGTATGCTAGTTGGACCTTGAGCTGGAATTTCCGGAGTTGATTTTTCTTCTGTATGTGACACTTCCGTGACGAGAGATTCTTCACTAGTTACTGAGCTCTCAGTCAAACCGGCATCTTCTTTCTTAGCGCCAACAGTGGCTTGCTCTTCAATTATTGCGTGTTCGGATGTTGTCTCTTCCGGTCGTTGTTCCTTTTCACCTTCGCTTATCACTGATTTCTGTTCTTCAACAGGTTGTTCTTTAGAAGGGCCACTTATTTCAGTTGACTGTTCCGTAACAGCGGTTTCCGTTGGATGCGACACCTCTTCTCTTTCAGTAGTGATTTGTTCAGTGGATACCTCGTGAGCAGAAGTCACAGTTTCTTCTTCTTTCGGTGATTCCGTTTCTGTTGCTAAGAGTACACCTGGCATAGTTTCTGGTTTACCTTCACCTGCCTTTGGTTGCTCGCTAACAGATTCAGAGACAGTGCTGATACCAAGCTCTTCGATTGGCGATGTTGTTTTCTCAATGGCTTTAGTTGAACTCTCTGGTTTTTCTGAACTAATTTGTCCTTCTTGTGTTATCTCTTCTTGTGTTTGCGTTGACAATTCTTCGTGCGGACTAGTAGTCTCTTCTTCTTTTATCGGACCTTCGGTTTGAGTTGTTTCGCTAATGGAAGGTTCGATCGATTGTCCCCTTTCAGTGGCGGCGGGAGTACTATGTTCCTCTTCAATTATATTCTCTTCTGTACTTACATGTTCTTTAGGTACGTGTTCTGTTGTTAACTCCTCTTCGGGTTGCAAGCCTTCTGCGATAGACGAAACTTCCGGTAATTCAGTGGCAGGTGCTTCAGTAACTAAACTTTCTTCAGTTCCTTGTACTGTCGTAGGTGCTCCTAATTTTGTTGCTTCTGTTTCAGAAGGCAGTTCCTCTGCCTTTTCCGATGTTATCTCAGGAGAAGTTTCGGTAATATGTTCATGAGAAGGAATAACTTCTTTCTCAGCAGTAGTAATTTCTATATTTTCTATCAGTGTTGCGGTTTCCTCTTCAGGTTTTTCGGTAGATGGAATGTGTCCCTGGGTAATGTGTTCGATAGTTCCTTGAACAGTTTTGTCTTCTTCTTCTTGAGCATACGGTATATTATTGTCGATACCTGGGAATGCTTCTTCTTGAGGATGTTCGCCCTTCGTTTGTTGATCTTCCTGATCAATCAGTATAGGAGATTCAGTCATTTGACCATGTGGTACTTGTTCCGGAAACTGTTCTTCACCTTCATCTCGTACTGTAGTGATTCCTTCTTCTGTAATAAGTACATAAGTAACGAGTCTTTAATGCGTAATGTTCATTTAGTAATAATGCTTCTTAGATTGTTTAATTACATAATATGTTGTTACTATTATTATGTAAAATTACTTACCACATTCATATATGGTTGGACAACATTCTCCTTCTGGCGGCGGTAAAGCCGTGCAATTCTTTCCATGCTCTTGCATCGGCGTTCCACAATTTTGCACAGCGCAAGCGATCTCGCCTCGGAAGCAATAGCAATGCTGACAAGGCTGAGTGGAGTAAATCAAATCACCGTCTTCGTAAACTTTACCTTCGTAATAACATTGAGGTAACATGCCAGGAGGTAGTGTTGTGGTCATGATGAGACCGGGAGTTGAACCAACCGTAGTGCTAGATTCCTCATCGTATTCTGTACAAAGAATCAATAATTGTGGGCATTTTTCAGTATGAAATAATATCAAGATATTACAAGACAATGCAATTACTTACCGCAATTGTATTTGATCGGACAGCATACACCCGGTTGATAGACAGGTTTACATCCAGCCACTTGTAAAGTACACTCTTGCATAACGCAAGTGGTTCTATTTCTAATGCAATAGCAAAGTTCACAAGGATTGTGGTGATCCAATGGCAGCATAGCGCCGTCTGCATAAAACCTTTCGTCGACATGGCAGCCATAATTGTCATGGAATCCGACTTCCGTGGATTCCGGTGCACTTGTTGTTGATGTCAATAGTTGAACTGGTACTTCCGGACAAGTGATCACAGGGCAACATTGATCCGGACGTTTCTCCACCGTGCAATCCTGACCGATCGCTTTCGTGAAGGGACAAACCTTCAAGTAGCACATCAACATTCGGTTGTGGCACGTACAGTTTAGACATGGTTCACTTGTCATGATCCTATCGCCTTCTTGATACCGCTGGTAGTTGAAGTAACATCCAGGGGTGGCTAGAAAAATAATTTTATATATATAATAAATACGAAAATCTCTAACATCGTAATTATATTGTTATTTTTATATTCAACAATATTATTTCTTCGCGAGATGCAACAAATAAATTCAATTCAGAAAAATTAAAAAAAAATTTTTATTTTATGATATGTTACATAGAAATCATTTGTAATAAATTTCTTTTAATCTTTTAATTTATTGAATTAAAGTACAACGTATGCGGCTTCTCTATTATACAATTAATGTCACGTTGTTGACGCACATGATTGATTAGATGCAATAAAAGCAAGCGTGATATACATACCTCCATCGTACTCTGCGATCTGTGTGGTATCCTGGTCATATACCGGTGCTGCAATCAAAGAAACATGACTGTTAGTGCTACGCGATCGAGTGCGTCGTGACAGGTACAGGCGCAGGCGTGTACGTGAAGTTAATGAAAAGCATAAAACGGGATTGCCGAATAAGCTTGGTGAAATTTGCAGGGGTGGACGTCAATGCGTCTCCCGCGTGCAGTTTATCATAGTAATTACTGGCAGGACGCATTCGTCGTCTCTCGAGGGTGTACCGGGGCTTAACAACGGAATGAGTGGAAGCGTCATATGGCGCGAACACACGTGGGCGAATTCTCGTTAACACCCTCGCCCCAGTCGTACGAGTTGCATGGTGAGTGCTCACAGAGTAGTGAATTCCATTTGGTTCTTCCTCTCGTGTGCAATCCACGCGGATTCGCATATAACAATCGCGTATCTCCCTTTACAAGCCTATTCTTTCTTTACGCTTACGCGACTACACGCTTTCGCAATTTCTTTTTTGAAATTGGAATGTCGCGCGCAGGACTTGAGTTTAATTGTTCTTGAAACATGACAGGACACTCTTCCGAGATATACACAATCACGAAAGATGTTTTCATCGAGAAATCGCACAATGAACCTTCTCTCGCTGTATCATTCTTTTATTCTTGCTTTTTCATGTTCGAAGTAGTGTGTTCAATTTTATATTACTGATTACACGAAAGATTCCAAAATTCCAAAAAATTACATCCGTGGAATGTACATATTTTAAAATATGGATAAAACAATAACATTTAGATCTTTGTAAAAAATCATTGACTTATCAAACGTATAAAAAGATTATACCATTATTTTATTGAAATTTATTAATGCATTTTTAAGATTAGATATCGACATAAACTTTATGCAAGGTTAGACAGTGCCAAGTTAAAAAGATAAAAGTTAATTTAAAAAGTTAAAAAGTTAATTAATTTTAACTTAATTTAGTTACATTTTAGACTTTTAACTTTTTAACTTTGTTTAGTTACATTTTTTATCCGTAATTATTAATTTCTTATTTAATTCGTTAGAATTAAGTCTCAGACATAATAAGCGGCAATAAGTGATGACTTAAAATGAAGTGAAAAGGTGCAAGAATGAGCAAATTTACTAACTGGTGTTGACCAATAAAATTATAAATATTCTAATGAATTTGCTCACTTTTGTAATTTTTACTTTATTTTAAATTACACAATCAACTTCCTGATTTCAATCTATCAGAAACTGTGTATTTCGATGTATCTAGTTTCTGATAGATTGAAATCTATTATTCTTTATTACTATCGCTACTCCCTCATATTGTGTCTGAAGCTTTAGTCATATCACAGGCCAGTATTCATAGTCACATTTTATATACTAAACAGTATATATATAAACAAAATGTGTAAATAAAATATAGAATATTTTCTAAATGAAGTATATATTTGTCATTTCCGTTATTTATAAGAATGAAATCATGAATTAAAAAAAAATAAAAAAAATAAATTTAACTTTTAACTTTTCAATTACTTATTTTTTATTAACTTAACTTTTAATTCAATTAATTCCATTACAAATTAACTTGTATCTTAACTAAGTTAAATTTTCAAAATTGTTAATTTAACTTAGATAAAAAAAAAGTTAACTTATTCAATCCTGACTTTCTATAATAGATGCATTTTCTCTAAAAACTCGCCATCTATCAATATCTTTAGAAACGAATTTTGTGATATTCGAGAATTAGAAAACTTATTAGACTCAATGAAATGAATAAGAAATAAGGAACAAGGAATAGCAGATTTTAATCTACCAGAAACTGAATAGTTTGGAATACACCGTTTATGATAAGTTGATATCTGTTATTCCCTATTCCTTTCGTTGTGTCTGAGCCCTTAGCATTCCGCGATACAAGATTTCCAGTGAACTGAACTGTACTGAGAAGCACAACGATGGTTGAATGGAGACTTGATTGTGTCTCGTCAGTCCCACGAGCGAGTCGGTGCCCGAGCCGCGTGCCTCCACGTTATACGAACCCATCACGTACGCGTGGCCTACCGAGACGATTCTTGTCTCGCACAATCGTCAGACTAAATTATTACGTCGCACCTCCCATCGTGGAGACCACGGTCAAGGTGTCGAGGCTTCGTGTACACGATTGTAATCTCTGTACGTGATCTTCATTATGCGATCGCTTAACTGCAACGACATAATATGATCATTCAATGTACGAACAGCGGTATGCACTCGCAATAATTAAATGCGTAATGAGACTGCGTTTGGACTGAATAAAAGAAACTTATCGGATAATTGAGGCTGAGAGTACCATAATAGAAAATTGAGAGGAAAAAAAAATATTCATTGTAATCATCAATAATTCGATTATTTTCTGAAGCACCCTTTTGTTGAAATTGTTACATCTTTTGAACGAGTCGTATGATTCTTTCCGTCGAGTTTTACGACGATACACACTAAAAACCGAAAGACAGCTTTTTGTTGCGAGCAAGCATTTTCTTCATTTCTTCTCTTATAAACGATAAATTACCGTCAAGAGACTAACGGGACAATCATTGAGTATGACCGGGAGATGCTGACAAAAAATCGATAATAAAAAATTTCAACTATAATAACGGAGAATTGCACCATGATGAAGCACAACGATTTCGATTGTCGATCTGCTTTTGATACTTGTTTCTTATCCTTTCGAAATCGAAAGGCACGAATTGCGAATTACCTCTCGAAAAAAGCGCAGTGAGAGAGAGAGTCGTTCAATAAATCTCACGCAGCAAGATAATGTTCCGTTCTTCGGATACAAAAATGCAGTTCCGAATAAAACACGTCTTACAAAGCCACTAGGAAGTGCATCGGCTAAGGTACGCTCTAAGGCAGACCTTTCTCGATGTAACGCAGACTCTAAATCAATCTTGGTCGCATAGAAAAAGGGCAATGTGGGAGTTTATCGGTATCAACAATAAACGCATCTTCCCTCGAATATAATTTCCGCGCGCGAGATTTATGCATTCTTCGGCCTCCTCGCTCGTAATCGAAGATCGCGGTTATATAGGATGGATATTAAGTACTCTAAAAGATTTTAAGAAATGATTCTTTACACAAATTCAAGACGAAAAGTTTATATATACAAATTAGTTTAAAAAATACAGGGTATGTCAAAGTTGAAAAAAAATCATTTTTTCAAAAATTTCAAATTCGAATTGTTTTAATGAAACTTTGTATGTTTAAAATTTGACAAAAAATAATACAAGTTTTCGAAATTTTTGGCAAAAACAATTTTTCCTTCAATTTTGACACTGTTTTGAAAATAACCGTATTAGATATATAATCTTTTGATTATATCTAAGCTATGAAACTTTCGTCTTGAATTTATGTGAGAAATCATCCCTTAATCTTTTATGCCCAATTTCTTTACTTCTGGATAACTTTAGATATCTCCTAGAATACAATGGAGATATCTTTTAAATAAGATTATCCGCAAATTATCTGAAAATGAAGAAATTGGGCATTAAAATACTTAGTATCCACCCTATATACACATATGCGCGCGTACAAGCATTCATGTTACGTACATCACAAGGAATCGCGGAGAATCATTATGTAAGTCAATGTACCGCCGAGTCCTTCTGTTTCCTCTCCGTGTATCGTTTCTCTTCTCGCAATTATCTTGCTCTCGCTTTGAGGGCGACTCTCTCGATTCTTCCCGCAACGCATCGCGATCCGATCCCCGTCCCTTTCTCCGCGTATGGGCGCGTATACGCGCGCGAACAATGCTATTACACACTGCAGAGATGAGAGAACAGAAGAACACGGGGCTGTTGAGCTCGGTTATGAAATCATTCCCGGCGGCCTTGCCTCGCGAAAGTTCATTACCATCAGCCGCGCACGCTCCGATGAACACCTGGCACCGCAGCCAGCCTCTGGCGTATTGCGTGCACGAAATTCTGCATTACGCATTCTCCAAGGTCGCGGTTACCTCCGTCGCGCTCTTACCAAGACAACCTCTTCGTATACTGATGAAAAAGATGATGGAATAATTTCGTTTCTTTGTGTGTGTGCGTATGCATACGTGAGATGAAAGTGAGACTCGTCATGACGGAACTTTTTTCACGTGGTCCCACGTGAAAGACGACAGCTATTTGGAAATTATGCAGCCCACTAGCTGTATAATTTTATCAAAATAATAAACTCAGACTTCAAGAAAGGAACAGAAAAATAATTCGTTTGTATCAGTGTGATTATTAATGTCAATGTCATGGATATCGGGAAGGTAGAACGCAGTGGAAAGCTGGCCGACCGGTTCTGGTGTAATACGCCGTACTGTTTCTAGTCCGTAGAATCCTTTTTGAGGATAGTCATAAATTATATCCTCCCAATCACACGGGATCGAGTTCGTTGCCACTTCCTACATTATGATGCAAGTCCGCGCGCCGTTAGATCCGGTAATGAGAATAATTTCCAACTCGGGAAAGAAACGCTCGTTTCCGATAAGAGACTCGAGATCTTTGAACCGCGATTCACTTCGTTGCGCGAGAATATTTCGTATATGCGATTGGATCTGGCGGACGTTGAACGCGATATCGTAGACATAGCTCTTAAATTATGCCTCGCACAAAAGCGGAACACCTATTTTCCAAAATGGAAACTAACGCGATCGATTTAATCCGTGTCACGCTGACGTTGCACCCACGCGTTCCGTTATACCTTTCGTCGGATCGTCGGATGACCGCCGGTGACCTCACCATCTCACAATCAGTAAGTAGTCAAGAAGGTACACAGACGAGAGAGAGAGAAAGAGAGAAGAACTCTAAAGAGTACGCGCGCGAAGACGAGGGAGTGGAGTCCTCTTACGACGTACCGGTTACAACAGGTCCTTTCTGTACCCTCTTACCGCGCAAAAGCTTTCCCTCATTTAAATTGACAGCGCAGAGCTTTATTCGTGCTCTCGCTCGTCAAGAATGCATTTAAATCACCTTAAAACCATCATTGATTTATTCTCGTGCTTAGATCGTTTCATGATAGATTCACACAATTTAATTCTCACGTAACCTGGTCCGATATTGCACAGACTTCCAAAGGACATCCTTATTCTTTGAATGTTTTATAAAGACATTTTCATGATGTCTCTTGGCTAAAGTGTGCTATATGGGAAGGATCCAAATTGCTCAAATGTGTAGAAGTCTCTCACATAGATTTATGAATTGATTCATATAATTCTATCTCGCGTAGGAAATGCAAGCAGATTTAGCATATGTGTAACTGTACACCGTCTCACGTCACATATATCTTGAACTTTTATGCGCTCCATACCGCTTGTAGAGTGCCATCACGATTCTCCGCGCCGTCGCGAGAGAGTTTGATGATGCTCGAAGATAACGACACTTTGCCAAGCATCAGGCATAAATATGGAACGCCTTAGGGATCAGATGCGACTCCGGTAGACGACGTACGTGGATTGTAAGTGGCGAACGGTGAGGTACACGGTCAGTGACATTCTGATGTGGACACGTCGACTGATTACTCCTCAGGGTCTACAGGTTTGACCAGAATTCACGCAGCATCACGTCGATGTAGCCACATGGAGGAACCGCTACACGGAGAAGCGCCGAGACACAATTTTTTTCTTCTACTGACCTTTAGACTTAGATCACTTCCGGGTGAGACACCGAAATTAACTTCTCTGTTCATTAAAGAAATAAATTTCATCGTGTCGTATTTCTTATTTTTTTTCTTGTTATTTCTTTTTCTTTTTCGACATTGATATAAAAAATAATTTGTACAAATTCTGAGTACATTCGAGAAATGCGCTATCAGCGCTATTGTCATTCCATTCTTGTTTTACGTTTAATGAACGTTAAAGATAGTATAAAAGACATAATAGTGCTAACCGTGCTCCCCGTGTTCAGCGTGGTTGAACGAGAAAAAAAAAAGACGAAGAGAAATTAATGGAACTCACGAGCCACATATTCACACCGATCGAACATTCATAAATCTCAGCCAAGTATGATAAACGATTGCCTCGGAATTCCGATAATATTTATATACAAATATACATATATACAATACATATATATGTATATATGTATAAATATATATATATATATATATGTGTGTGTGTGTAGCTATAATGTCAGTGATATGCGATACTTATTATTGCCATATTTCCGATCAGACATAATAATGATATCGTTCCTTTAAAGATGACATAATTCAAAAACATTAATTTTCGAGTTATTACTATGAATGAGTTTGGTAAACATTTTTTTATTAATTATCAAAAATAAACTATCTTAAACTTATCAAAAAATCGTCAAAATTGTCACAACTTAAAAAGGATGGTTTAAAAAATTTATTACAACTCAAATAGGATGGTATTTAAGAATTGTAAAAATTACAATGATATTTGACTTGCATGTAAAAAATATAGATATTCTTTTTACCAATATTATTTATTTATTCAATAATTTTTTGTCAAGTTAAAAAATAGTTTTCTTTTTTCTAAGAATTGTAATTTTTTGAATTGTATCACTTTTAAAGTAAGGGAGCGATATTACAATCACGCAAATATGTAACAATTTACGCAGCAAATCGCAAAGCACAAATCTCATTTAATTTTTCACCATAATGCAATCTGATACACATCAAGTAATTCTGGTAATCTCAAAACCTGAAAAGAAAGTTATTGCTACGCGTGTGATAATATAACATGACAGGTAAACACTTTTTTATAATGAAAACCTGTTGCCTCTCGAAGTTGGCGATATTGCTGATTTCCTTTCAATGCAAGTATCTCGCCAATACTCGTTGCGCCTCAAGGAAGATATATAAATTCAGTAAAACTTCTCCGCCGTCTGATGGATTACCGGAGATCGAACGCGTCGATCTTGATCATCCTTGTTACTCGCTCGAGAAAAGCTCGAAGGAACAAAAAGAGCGTGCATGCGATAGAGAGTCACAGAATCACCTAGCGATTCTCTCGAGGGAGAGAAAAAAAAAGAAGAGCGAGTGAAGACATGCCGGGTGAGTCGCGGAATTCAATCGATCCCGTCCGTTTAACCACACCTGCTCTTCGTTGAAACACCGACGGCCGATTGATGAAGGGGTGAGGCAAAACTGACGCATCTTCAATAAGCCTTCATTGACGATGCAGCGTTTTTGCACGTCGTCGTGTTCATAGTATCATCTTTTCCGAGAACGCGCTCCTGATCGATCGATCGATCGATCGTCGTGAACGCCTGTGCGAAATAAGTTCGTTTTCTTTGCGGCCTCTTGACCACAAGATGTGAAATTACTTTCTCGAATAACGAATTACGGGAATGACGAATCCTTTTCCTATCGATACTCTGAAGCGTAAACTTTTTTTTTCTACGATAATATTATTACGGCGTAAATCTATCGTCATTTTTCCTCTCCCGGAAATCATTCATGATACGAGCGATGACAATTGGAAGCCCCGTTTTAACCCTGGATCGTCTTCGGTATCAGAATAACCTATCGGGACTCGATAGATCCAGGCATACTGTTTTAAACCAGCTCGACGTAAAGGGAAGAAATTGGCGAAACGAGGTTTACGATAGCAAGGAGGCGACCGACGCGACCGCTCGAAGGCGACCCGAGTAGTCGAAGAACGAATATGGTGTGTCAGGTCCATGGGAAAGCATCTTGGGCCTCGACACGACCGATGCCAGAGGTGAGCATTATGAGGTAATGCTCTCCCCATTGGCAGAGAGGAAGGGAGACACGCGGATAGGTTCGACGGCCTGACAGAACGTGGCTTGCTCATTCAAACATTGGCTGGCCGACTCTGCGTTAGTCACAGACAGTACAAGAAAGACGGTCGCGGAAGTAATATCGTCTCATCTCTCGGCTCTAATTTTCAGAAATTAATTTCAATACAAGACGTACGCGTATTCATGCTCGATTTAAAGCTTTCTATCGCACATCTATTCTAATCTCAAAAAATCCACCGGTTTGATTCTATCTATCGTGCTTTAATAAGATTACTCTTCTTTTGCCTTTGAAAAAAACCAATTCTTCCATCGTAAATGCAATACAACATGCTCGAGTTACGAAAGACTTTTCTCATCTTCATCCGAGATTACACTTCTACTCTTTCTTTCTCTTCGGTCTCTATTACTACAATATTCAACTTCTTGTCTGTATTCCGCAGAGTGTAAAAAGAGTAAACACAACATCCACGTGGAAACAAAATTTTTTTTTTCATTACGATTCCACCATATTTTGCTACATTTATGGACGGCATTTATGGACGATCCGGTGAAGTACAATCTAACTTCGAGCAAGCCACAAGCAGAAATAATCCGATCGCGTCTTCTCGGGCGAGCGAAAATATTTCTTGCCCGTCTACCTCTTATTTCCTCGTGGGAGTCCGCGCGTTCACGGTCTCTCTATCAAATAAATGACTCACGTTTTGTACGGCGGCTCAAGCGTGTCCAAGGCGTTGAAGTCAGACGAAAGAAAGAGAGCTAGAAGTACACCGAGGTATTTCTGCAAAAACTCACCAGAATGCGTGGATCGTGACGCAAGCAGTAGAACGACGGCCAGCCAGAGGATTATCCCGCGTCTACAAAGCGCGGCGTTCAACGCCGACATGTCGGCACTCTTCTTCCGTACCCTGCAACACATCAATTATGCTTTCGTTAACTTATATTATATGTGCGAACATAAACTGAGCTTTGATCTCTTGTATGGCTACGTATAAAATGACTGGAGTAAAAATTAATTTAAAATCTTTACAAGATTTATTTAAAGTTAAATCTATTTCTTACATGTAATACCACAAGTCTAACGTTCTCTCTGACTTTATTTAAATATAAGTAAAATTCGTTTACTTTATCGATTATTCAATAGTCATCAATTGCCAATGAATAATATTAAAATACTTTAACGTAAACATATTTGAGAGGGAAGCGCCTTAATATCGATCATCTTATATTACATACGCCTTAATATCGATCATCTATATATTATATACGAATGCAATCGCTCGGCTTAAATTCATACCTACTCAGACGGCTTTGAGAATTTTTTCGCGTTATCTGCGTATGCGCGAAAGTATAACGAGCGATTGTACGCGCGCACTTATCTATTCCATCATGAGGCGGCTTAAAGGTACATCTATCTCGTCACGTAGCATTCTACCATGTAACTCTCGCCTTGATCTGACAGGATGACTGCCGGATACAGTGGTCGCGTTTGAAATCGAGTCAAACGCATCTCTGCACTTTGACCTTCTCGCGAGTCTATGTGCTGCAGAAGACTCGACAAGTATAATATAATTTACATGAGTAATTAAATTCATTACGTAAATGAACATATCACTCATTTACTACAACAACGTCACATCTTGAAAAATAAAGTTTTCCAGAAAATAAGTGTGAATGTTTTGAATCATTAAAATTTTATAATATTAATTTTAAAGTGCAATTTTGATATAATAATGAATTGTAGAGGAATAAAAGTATGTATTTTTAAAGTATGTTTCTTTTTTGTTTTTTGTTTTTCTGCAAGTTCCCGTGCTTTTTCACAAATGTTTACAAATAACTTAGTAATAAATATTTTTTAATAATGACGCTATTGTAGCAAATAAGTGTTATAAAGATACAAATATATGAAGCCTATGATAATGTATTAATAATTTAAAAATTGATCTAATCACACTGAATTATTGTTTATTGTATTCGACAATTGTTTATGGAAATTCTGATTAACATCGAAAAGGACCTAATAAAGATCGAAACGTTTCTTTTCCATAAGATTCATTAATAATTGTTAAAAATTCGTTAAATAACGCGAACACACAACTTAGGCTCCCTTTTGCATTAATTTAGTATTAATAATTACCTATTACTATGTCTATGTTGTAGTCAGTATGAAGAAAACAATCAGTCTCGAGAAAAACAACAAAGTTAATCGGTTAAACGCTGTAGAGAGAGTTAATCGGTGTTAGTAGAATTAGCCTTAAGGTATACAATGTATCACGGTGTCAAGACGCGAAATTCGCGACGCGAGAAAACATTTGACGCATTCGCGTCGCGGCGGGAGGCTAAATGCGATTCGTCTGTCTACCTGGAGCGTGAGCCAGCTATGAGAGGCGTGGGTGCGTGGGAATGAGCACGCGTGTTTGCACGAGTCCGCCGTGTGCTCAACCTCCTCCGTTCATATCGTTGACCAGCAGACCTCGCTCGCCCAATAAGGGAATAGGCACGCGAAAAAGCGTGAGCGAAAAAAAGGATTCATATACTTGATAAAAGTTCGATTTTCAAGTGGACGCTATAAAATTAAATACCAACGTATTTGTATTCCCCCGTTCCGATGTAGAGGAAGAAAGAAAAGGAGGTGATGATCGTGTCCGCGGGTTCTTGACCGAAAGAACCGAAAGAAATTACTTAAGAGCGCTGACTTTGCTGGTAAACTGCGATAAAGAAGGAAGGAAGAGGAAGAGATGGTGGAGGAGGATAAGGAGGAGGAAAAGTAAGAAGAATTTCCAGGCAGGAAGAAAAGAAGGACTTTGGCGAAGCTGGCGGCGCATACCAACCGTGCGACAGCGGCCTAATACAAAGCGGTACCAAGTTAAAAGAGAGAAGCGCGCGCGAGAGCGCGTAGGTAGTTTCTCTTCTACCTGTTCGACTTCATCTTTTCCCCTACGTTATATTTCCTCCTCTGCCATTCTTCCCCTAGCAACATCCACCGGCAACTCATTGTAGTCCAGAGAAGGAGGAAGAAAAGAGAAAAAGAAAAAGAAAAAGAAGCAATGCGAGAGTCGCGACACTAAACTCGTGCTCGCTCGTTAACGTCCGTTTCATGCTAGCCGCGCAGTAAATTACATCTCGGCCGATCGTAATGAATCTCGCACCAATGGATAAGGTCCGCGAGATATTTCTGTACTATGAAACCGCGCCAAGAGGACATTATAGAGTTCGCAATACGTTGAGACTATCCGGCGAAGCAACGGGGACCCTTACGTCATTGCGTATTCACGGTATAACCCGTTGAACAGGGGAATTCGGTGAATGGGTACGAGCGCATACCGCTAATACGCGCACGCACTTCTATAGCTTCAGCCTGAACACTAGCCAGGATCGAATTGCGTGTGTATTGTGGAAATACGAATATATTTCTCCCAACTTTACTAGTGAAATAGTAAGAACTGAATTTAAGTTTCTTTTATTCACGATAATCTACAAACTATTGATAGCTTCTAAATTTACATGATCTAGATTCATATTTCATTTCACTTGCAGTATGCATGCATACTGATTTAAAATCTAATTCCGTCTTCAAGATATAACTTAAATGTCACAACTTTGATCTTTTACAGAGAAGATTTTAATAAATCAAATCAATGAAGGATTTAATATTATTCCCAGGCGATCCTATTAATCTTTCTTAAGTTTCATGCCCATTCGTCTGTTCTTCCGAGAAGTGACCCCCGATAAGACCGCATTTCTCTCGTATCTCACGTTCGGCGGGCCGCGTTCGCAACCCAGAAACGACACACCCGTGTGGTGATGCGTTGTGAATGAAAATATCAGGCCGACTCCCGATCGGCACGATCGGCATTCTCGTCGATTCACCCTGATTCGTCGCAAGGTACATTACTTTCCATCTTGCTCGTTCAAGAACGAGCGGTAGGCGCGTTCGTCGAACCGAGACTAATTCCACTTACGCTCTCGGTACGGCCGCGCCGCGACGGAAGGCACCGTGTCTTCGGATGCACGCGTTTATAAAGCGCGACGCGCGTCCAAGTGCATCGTTGATGCCAGACGGCAGCGTCGCGTCGTGTCCGGTCTGCACGCAGCGCGTTTGTCGCCGATAAATTTGCGTTCGATTCGCTCGTAATTGCCGACGATGACATCTTCCGGTTGTAGCACGCGCTGACGACTACGATAGTACTGTGTATGTACATACGTACACGCTAGAAACCACTGACTCTCCGGATCCTCTTAACTTGTGACTGAAGTGCCCACTCATAACGGGATCCGTTCCTCTCCGAGTTGTCGATTATAATTTACTGCGGTTACATGTAAAATTATTCAAAATGTATAGAGAAATATGTTTCTCTGCGTTCCCTGAATATTCGATAGCTTGCATGAAAAATTCAAAAAAATCGCTATTCTTTACATATTTTTTTCAAATGCTGTATTAAAGTTTGTATATCGATTCTAGAAAAAAAATTCTACAAAAATCACCTATTGAATAATTTTATAATGTAATCATTAAAACTAAAAGTAATCGTATTTTAACTTTGTCGAAGAGTGAAACATTGAATATGAAACTGTGAAAGCACGAAGTCGATTTTTTAGTTACAGTAAAGTTTTAGTAAAGTAGATAAAAATTTATGTTTATAAAAAATAATCTAAAATACAATTTGATTTCTATGATAGTAAATACTAATTGTCAAAGCTTTATAAGTATACGAAATTTTTTTTTAATTTTTAATTCGAAACAATATAAAAGTCTGCATTGAAGTTCGAAGACCCTACATAGTTGCTGATGGAAAGTGCAAAATTACACATTGCTAATAGAGGGTTAAGAAATATGTAATGTATAGCTAACGTGCCTTTTGATTCTCTTCTCAAATAAGTTTGTGTGAGCATAAATGATCACACAATCATAGATAATTTGTATTCAATCCAATCGTAATAGTCAATCTCGTCTGGTTTCTCAATACAAGCACTTTAAATCGATGTTATAATGGTATTGTCGAAAACAATATACAAAGAACTTCAAAAAAAACAAACAAATAAAAAAGAACAAACGGCATCGCCATCAATATCGAGGCGAAGAGAGGCATGTCCAATTTTACTTTCACGCTCATGATAAATTATATTGAACGAAGCGCAAAGCGAAGAGTACCAACAACAATAACAACGAGAACGAGCAGTGCGTTAAATGTGAAATAAGGCAAACGCCCCGCTCTAATTAATACATTAATTAATAAGTCATGATTATCCCGTGAGTTATTAACGCGCGAGCGTATTACTCTTCGACTCATTCACGTTGAGGTAACCATCACGTCGAGTAATAACAGCAACGATCACTATCGAGCTTCTACAACCGCAACGGGATCCTTTTTCATGTGCGGTTTCCAGCCGCCCATGGCAAAGTATTTCATTGAATTGTGGATAACAGCAAATTAATTGTTATTAGCGTTCGGTTGTATGTTACTGGTCGGTGCCAGCCCGATCGCGGCTGGTCACGAGGTCAGGTCAGGTTCAAAGGCTAGTCCGCCTTGTCCGCGCTTAGGAACAAGATAGTAACGATAACGATCGTGGAGGAGGGAGAGACGTTGCCTGCCGAGATAACAGTCGTGCGATAATTGCGGCAATATAGGAGTTTGGCTTAGAGAGGCACAGCTAAGCTAAGGTGCACCCACGGGTCCGACACAGAGACCGGGGTGCAGGCTGGTGGCAGAGGTTCCGTTACAGCCCAGAGGCTGCGTTCGTTCACCATTATTGTGGAACGCGGAATATGATTACCTTCACCTGGGAACAAACTCCTTATATACAATCAACCGGCAAAGGAGACCGTAGGCGAAGTTCGTGTCGTGGATACCGTGTCCCGGTTTTACTCGTCGTTCGCGTTCGTTAATCAGATTGGAGCTAGTCGGAT